GAGAGAGAGAGAGAGGCATAATCCAGCACCAGGTACCGTCCTTACAAAACGCGCGCCTCGAATGCATGCAAAAGTGAGAAAAAAAAATTTGCATTGATCTTTGCGCTATTGAACATCTATCCGTCCTTTACTCCTTTTCTGCTTTTTGTCGCGCCCGCTATGCCAGGGAAGTAGGTCCTCCCCTCCTTTACCCTCCCTCCCTCAACCAAAAACGCCATACCGCTTGGCCTCAGCCCCAAAGAACACAGACTAACGACTGGTAGACAAGTGACTCAAAGCATAAGAGCAGAAAGATCACTCTTCGTCATCCTCATCAGTAGCCGTGTCCTCCTCTACATCGACTTCGTCGTCGTCGTCTTCGTCTCCGGACTCGTCGTCGGAGTCTTCCTCGTCTTCGTCCAGACCGGGGATGCTCTTCCATTGCACATAGTCGCCTTCTATCCACCGCTTGCTGATCGGGAGCTGGTAGGGGTCAAATGGAAAGTAGGCGTCCAGTTGGTGCCAGCTATCATTGTTTCCTCCGTTCCCCGTGTCTCTCAATGCACCGGTGGCATGGCCTGAATAGTACTGGCCGAGGCGGATGCGCTTGTTGGTCTCGAGGAGCGGATACACGTACATGAATCGCAGGTGGCGGGCAATCTTGGCAAACTCGGCCACGATTGGAGGCGAGCAGACCTTGAGAGGGTTGAGCTTCGAATAAATGGCTCGAGTGAGGGTCTCCTTGACCCCAGCAGTCCAGTTCAGGTCCTGGCTGACGAAACCAACGGGATCCTCTTCTTCCGAGATCTCTGAGGATGTGATCAGGTCACGCCACCTGAAGCAGAATATGTATAAGAGCGCCTGTGTCATGGCGTAGAACGTGCCGTACCGCTGCAAATCCGGGCCTCGGCATGTGAGCTCGTTGTGAGAGCGGATAGTATCTAGGTTATCGCCAATGATATCGAAGACGGTCCGGACCACGCTAGCCTGTACGTGAGCCCCTCTGGCTACAAAGCTAGCTAAATAGGCAGCCGATGATTGTCTCTGAACAGCTGCCCGGCTAGGCTGAAAAGCAAGCTGTATGAGGGTACCAGCAAACGAATCGACCAGATGCTCCGCTGTTTGCGCGAAATGGAACAGGAGGAATTGCGTGTGCCGGGATCGATACATGGGAAGTATGGTGTCCGAGAAATGCCGGAGCAGAGTTTCGTACATCGAGGCTGCCTCAACGCTGTTTGGATCGGCGAAATATGGGCTGTAGAGGGTAAAGAGCAAGTCGAGTATGGCGTCCATCTTCTCGACATTAACTTTCATCTCTCTAATTCGCTTTGTGTCGACGTGGTCGTCATCGTCGCTGATGACCGAATCGACGTCGCTGTCCGAGTCTTCCCCGTCTCCACCGCTTCGATTCGGATTCAATGAGATGGCTTGGACAATCGCTGCTGCTACCTCGTCATCGACGTCGTCGAGATCCACCTGCATCTGCACATCAATTGTAACGACCCTTCTCGTAATCTGCTCGAACACTTCAGACTTGAGCTCCGGGGCATACTTGATAAGGCGGACAAGATTGCCGATGTAGGTAACATGAGCCTTTTTCGTATCATCGAGGAGGGGAAACTTCTTTTCGAGAATATCGGACAACGTCCCACTAGCGGAGGGGATCTTTTGAAGGAGAGTTTCCAGAGCGAAATGAATCCGACCGGTAAGCTTTTCTCGGTTGACCTCGGGGTAGCCTGCAAGTCGTCCACTTGCTAACCGTACTGGAGGAAAGGTGAGAATTTGTTCGTCGTTTGAAATATCAGGATGTATGCCTTGGATATCTTACTTCCGTGAAAGTGCCCCACCAGCATCCCCAGCACCATGCCGACGTAAAGGCCCTTCGCACTGACCAGACTGACCAAGAAGTCAACGTACGCCTTCACAAACGCCTGGTCTCTCCCCATCCACTCGCATGCAAGCACAGCCGAGACAAGACTGCGACAACTGCTGTTCAGCAGCGAGGTGTGGGCTGTGAGCGCCCCCAGATACGTCTTGATATCCACATTGAACCCCTCCTCCTCCTCCTCCTCCTCCTCCCCCCCATCCCCCCCCTTATCGCCTTTCTTCCCCGCGAACATCTCCCTAATTCTGTCGTAGCCCTCGCTATCTCCCTTGTCTCTGATATGCGCTTCGATCGATCGCTTGACCTCCCCTCGCACGGAGTCCATGCTCCGGCCTTTGGCCTGGTAGACCTCCATTATCTTTTCCTCGACTGTCGGGTTGAAGCTGACTCGAGCCCTCTTGTTCGGACTCGCAGGATTAGGGATCAAGTCGAGATCCAGGCCGGCATCCTCGGATGTGCGAACGGTGCCACTGAGTGCGGCTCGACGGAGGAGAGGTTTGCTTGGTTTCGCTGCGGGCGCAGAGACTGGAAGCCTGGCGCCTGGGGCGAGGGGCACCATTTTCGAGCCGCCACAGTTCCGCGTAAATCAGGAAGAGTTGGTTGCGATCATGAGATGCGTGACGACTGCTTCGAGGGTACTCGTTCGGGTCGAGGCCACAATCTCGAGATAGTTGTGAGGTTGGTTGCCGCTCCGAGGCCCCCGCCATTGAACAAAAATTAAGTACTAGCTTCGCTTCCCACTAGCGCCCGTGCCATCGCTTCTGCACCAGGCTTCCAAGGCAATTCAATGATGAATACATGGCACAGTATAGCCGAATTCCTATTGAAGAGTGATGGTTTAATTGTATCGGTCCAATAATTCATTCCTTTATATCAACCATACTCACAATACTTCCAGACAGCCACTACAGTTCCACGATACCCATCGAACTCACTTCAGTCCCGCATAGTAAAAGTATTATATTCATACTCGAGGACTGTTTATCCTACACCCTGCTGTAGTTGCTGCTCATACCTGTTGGTGAAGATTGCTCACACGAGCAAAGAAATCTAAAGCAGAAAACCCCCGTGCTTTTCGGCCCTCCATGTACACATCACACCAAGGTATCAAGAACGTCCTCTCCCCATCCTTTCTTCCTGCCCATCCTCTGCCCCAAAACCATATCGTAGTCAATACACTTGGAGAACCCATCAACCCTTTCCATCCCTTGTCCGAAAGAAACCTAGACGCCTGACTGTGTGCTATGGTGAGAACAACACGAATCCTAATAACCATCCCCAGCTGCTGCGCCGTTGTGTCCGCTTGAGACTTGCCCGCCATACATATTGCCGTAGGCATTGGGATCATGATCACCGGCTTCTCCTCCTTGTTGGCTACCAAGATGGTTGTTGGATCCTTCACTTCCACCTTGGAAGACCGTAGGCGGGACGTTGGCGGACGCTGAAGCGCCTGAGGCGACTGAGCCGAAACCACCTTGACTACTGGGCCGTTGCTCGCTTCTGGTCGACTGAGTCTAGCAAATGTCAGGTATTGTTCGCGATTTGAAGGGATGAAGCCGTGCGCCCTGCCGGCCGACAGCGACACCACTTACTTCTCTGTACTTGGACAGGTAAATCTTGAGCGCTTCCGCATAGTTCTCGAACCCCAACGACGTCATGGCAAACAGGATGTCCTCTCCGTTAACCGTCTTCCGTTTCTCTTGGTGACATTTCTCCGAAGCTTTGGGGAGGTTTTAGCTTTGCGTAGATGGATAGGATTTTTTTGGGGGAAGGGCGAACCTTCGCTTGTAATGAACGAGATGAACTCGCTCACGCATTCTTGCATACACTCTTTTGCTTCTTTTGCGATTTTGGCATTTTCAGGGAGGGCGGTCTTCATAATTCTGGCGACTGGAGCAAAGTTCCGGATGTTAGAATCAGAGTAGTCATGTTTGGTGGGCTTAGACGGATGCGGCGTCTCTGGTGACTGAGACGGCGAATCGTGAGACATGATAGGATGTGTGACCGGCCGTGACACCACTAGAAGGTGAAGCGTTTGACCTCCAAGGCCACTGACTGGCCAGTCTATAGACCGTCTGCGTCTAATAGCTACGGTTGTTCCAAGCGATGCCAGTCACGGCGGAGATGGGGGGTGGTATGCGGGGATTTTCTTGGGCACAAATCAGGAGAGAGAAAACTAACCATTTGCTATGGGTAACCATCGATCTTGTTCTTTCACCTGAGGGAAGCTCAGCAGCTACTCGTCACACACGGAAGGGCTACCTACCTCGAACTCGACTGGGAGACGGATGGTTTAGCATATACCGGCAAAATTTGACTCTGACTCGGGCTCCGAGTGACACAGGGAGGTTGGGGGGTTGTTGAGGATAGATGGGGAGTGGAAAGGGGGGATACTTACAGGCAAGAGAATTGTGTGGATCGTTCATCACTGCATCCGGGTCATCAGGGCTCTGGACACCAGCTTCGTGGTCGGTTTCTTTCGGTGATGCAGACATCCTTATGAAAGAATGGCAAGCTGCAGTTTCTCGGATAGCGGCGTACTCGAAATTCCTTGGTCCTGCCAGGTGGCGGGTGGAACAACTGTCAAGTCGTATCAAGGCTGGCGAGATCGCAGGCGGCGCAGATCCTCGAGGCAAAGGCCTTTTTGCTGCGCAACCCAGATGTGGATGAGGCCGGCAGCTGCACTAATGCACTCCTCCTTGGGGGGGGAGAAGGGGGGGGGGGGGGATGGGAAAGGGGATCTGGCCTCGTCTGGTCTCGTCTCTTCGGTATGATATTGATATGCGATTCACCGTGGTTCGGGGACGCCAGTATGGACTGCAGGTAGCCTGATGTGTAGAGTCGCGTCAGAGAAGGTCGCGAGTCGAAAGATGGAAAAGAGCGGACCACGACAGGGCCGCCTTGACACGACTGGAGCAGAGCAGCTCGGAGGATTTCCCACTGCAAAGGCACAATGCATACACACAATGCGCCTTGTGTCGAGGACCGAGAACAGTGGTGGTTTGGTTGATAAGGCTCGGGGGTTCGGGTTCGGGGTCGGGGTCGGGGTCGGTTCGAGGAATTGGGTCGCATGCAAAGAAAGCACTGTGCAGTGCAGAAACGTGGGGTGGCCTTGGGATGTGAGCGAAGCGTTGAGGTTGGGGGATCGCGAGCTCAATGGTGCTGGGTCGATTGCCTTGCCTTGCCCTGCCTTGCCCTGCCTTGCGTTGGCTTGCCTAACGCGTGAATTGTCCGGACGGTGTTACTATCTCGTTGGCGATGGATTGGCAAGACGCGGGTGTTGACGCGGATATGGATATGGATTGGGGTTCGGACGCGGTGCGCATTATTGATTCCCATACGACCAGGACCAGTAGCTGGCTCTAGCTCAGGCACAGACAGGAACGCGTCTGGCAGCCTGATGTTTTACAGTGCCAGCCAGCTTCAACTTGTCACTCGGCGGCCTTCTCTTGCGCTTGTATTATTACTATTACTACCTTACGAAGTAGGGTAGGTAAGGTAGCTAGGTAGCATTGGTCGAATCAGGCAAATACAGATTCTTTTTGAAAATGGTAATCGGGCTCGCTCCATCAACCACAGCTGCTCTCCGTTTCCGTGTTCTTGACACTCGCTTAGGGATTATTGGTGATGTTACTTACTATGGTACTCCGAAGCTATGCAATTCATCACTTCCATTCATGCATTTCTATCTGCGATGAATGGATAGCTTTACAGCTGACCCCATCACTTCCTCACAGCTCCTCTCAACTGTACCCATCCCCCTTCTCATGATGCCGCCGCACTCATACCGAGCGAGCACCCCGCAGCGCTTCCCTTCTCTCCCTTCCTGTCCCTCCGTCTCCAAAGCCCAGCTAATGAAAAGAAAAGAAAAAAATCCCTTAGAAAGGAAGAAACAAGAAGCCGACCCAAAAAA